CACATCACTGCTCACACAGCTCCTCGGGGACCCCCCACTTGCCTGTGCAAGCTGTCATGAGATGTGTGTGCTCAAGTGCCTCTGTGCTGGCATCCAGCACGGGCACATACCTGCTGTGAAGTGTGCAAGGGGGCACGTATGTGTGTGCCTACGCACACGTGTGTGCTGTGCAAACCCCTGGCGCTCTGGGCATTAATGTGGACTGATAAACTAGTGAGGCCTCAAAGGTGGGAAACAAAACACTTGTGTTCGGACAGCTGACTGTTCGGTTGGCTGCCACCCTTGGGAGCCAGCTGCCTGCGGAGCTCCACATTTTTATGAGGCAGCTAGGAGCACCTCATCCCCGTGTCCAGGGAGGAGCCTGCTGAGGGCTGTTTGCCTCCCCCAGCCGCTGAGACAGGAGAGATGCTTCTCTCCTTGCTGACTCGGCAACCTGGAGATATCCAGGGCCCTACCTGGACCTGCCAGAGGGTCTCCAGGCCAGCTCTGCTCACGGTGCCCTCCTGTCCTCTTCCTCTCCCCACCTCCGCCTCCCGTCTTGCTGCCTGAGGGCACAAGGCAGGTGTTCCAGGCCTTTTCAGCTCTCAAGAGTCTATTCTCTGAGCAACCCTATGCGCATAATAACGGTGAACGTTTTGAGCAGGTCTGCTAGACTAGGCGCCGCCTAGGGTAGACACCCTCGCTTTGCTGGGTGGTAAGAAGTGTAAATGGAAGCTTGGTCCTGAAAGATGCCCCACGGGAATTGGGAAGACCGAGCTGACCCCATGTCACCATCCAAAAACTTCCATTTACCAAGCTAAGCCCAGCCAAGCGTAAGGTGCGAGGAGACGCGCACAGCTGCGGAAGGGGCAGAGTCGTGGCCTTGGGCTGCCCTGGAAGAGTGGCCCTGGACCTCCCCACGGACCTGCCTTGGGACAGGCTTTGTAGCTTCAAAGGCAGGCATTCTCCTCTTGTGGGGATGGAGTTTTCCGAACAGCCGGATCTCCTCACGGGGAATCCTAAGAGGCTGGCATTTGACAGGCTGCCAAAGGCTGGCCAGCCGGATCCTGTGCCTTGCAGGCAGCGAAACGGAGATCCAGGGCTCTGTCTTATTCAACAGCAGAGCAGGGTCCTGATCTCCCATGCTGATTAGCTTTGCATGGCTCCTGGCTGCTCCAACCAGGAGATGTGGGGTGGGGCGGGGGAGGGGGCGTCCTGAGCCAGGATGGGGTGGCCTGCTTGGTCCCACCCCCCACTCAGGGGCAGTAGAAAGGGCTGAGACCAGGGGTGCATCCAGACCAGGCTGACAGTGATCTGTTGGACAGGAGCCGGGCCTCGGGGGCTCTAGAGCTGTAGGCACAGAGGATTTGTATCGACTTGTAAAGGCTTAAAGGGAGTCCAGGCGTCCGGAGGCAGAGGCAGCAGCCCAGCGGAGAGGCGCTCCTGTGGCGAAGGGTGACCTCTGCTGGCCACAAGGTGCATGCCACCTCCCAAAGCCGGCCAGTGTGCAGGAGCCCAGTGGTGCAGGTGACTGGATTCGGGCCGGTTGGGTGGAACAAGGAGGGCATCTCTTTGGGCCCAGTCACAGCCCGAGGTGGGGAGCTACCAGGAGGTCCTGACCACCAGTCGTGGGAGTGGAAAGAACAGCACATTAACAGTTGGAAAGGCAGAATTTCAGCCCAGCAGCTTTCTGACTGTGTCACCTCGGGCAATTTGCTTCACCTCTCTGAGCCTTTTAAGGATGAAGAAAATTAGCATTGCACGGGGCCTGGCCTGGTGCCTGAACATGGCAGGTATAGAGCAAATGGAGGGTCCCAGCCTGCCCCTCAACAAGCTGTCTCTTGCACACCTCCCTCAGCCCACCCTTCCTCTCTTTATGCCTGGGACCCCTTGCCCTCTAGACCTTTGACCCCTTTACTGCGGAGACTAGAGCCTCCAGTCTCCTCCATTCCTGGGGTTAGGAACCCCAGTCTTGCATCACTGACCTCAACATTTTAAAAATGTCACCTCACCTGTAGGGGCCTCTGTAATCAGCTGGACATTTGTTCTTTTATTTATTGATTGATTTTTGAGACAGTCTCACTCTGTTGCCCAGACTGGAGTGTAGTGGCATGATTTCAGCTCACTGAAACCTCCGCCTCCCAGGTTCAAGTGCCTAGTGCCCTGTGGCCTTGAACAAACCACTGATGGGCCCCAGGCTCCTCAGAATAAAACCAGCTGAGCAGGGGAGTAGGCGGGGGACCTGAAAGCACCTTTGGCCCTTAATATGCCCAGAATCTTTCCATCCAGCTGGGTGGACCTAAGCACCTATGCCTGCCTGGGGCTTCCAGGCACTGTCATTCAACAATCAGTTACCAAGACCCAAGGGCTCAGCCCCTGGACACAATGTTAGGGGAACACTCCTATTCAGAGATAGACCCTTATAAGGTTACTGAGTTACCCCTATGCAGCAACCTGTTCTGCAGATGGGGAAACCAAGGCCAGGAAACCAGAGAAGCCCACTCAAAGCCCATCCTGGCTGGGGACACCTGGGTGCTCACTGGAGGGAGAGAGAGGACGAAGGGCTGGGAACCATACCTGGCACCTCCACAGTGCCCAGGTCTGGCCCCCAGTTCACTTAGGTTTGTCAACAGCGCCCCCTGCTGGCTGTCTGGGCCGCCGATGGCCCTTTGTCCTGGTGGGCAGTGGCCTGCGGACGTGGGGGAGGAAGACCTGCAGGCATGAGGTTTCTTTGTACTTTCTAACATCTCCTCCCGCCAGGAGCTGAGCCAACCCAGGCCTTTGTGGGGAGGGTCTCCGTGTCCTAGCTGTTTACGGAAGTTGTATTCTCCATTGGGACCCAGGTCTTCACCACCGCCTAGGTATCACATGGTGCTGGGAGACCACCAGGGTCCTTTGGCTCTGACGGGGCCTGGCATTAGGAACTGAGATGGCCTTGCTGAAGGTAGCACTGTCTTGCTACTGCTCTGGGCTCTCTGTGTCCTTGTTTTCCCCACCATGGTTTGTCCCTGGCCCCAGGGGCCTTTGTCAGGTGGATGCTGGCTGAGAGTCTGTAGGGGTAAACTCAGGAGGACAAATTCAGACCCTGCTTGGGGGGCCTACAGAAGTAGCAAGTGAAGCTGCCCTGATCACACCCCTGCCACCCCGGACCACACACACAAACACATACACACATATCTGTATGGATACATACATACCCTGGCCCCTCCCCAGGACCTGTTCAAGAGAGAAAATTGTAAAGGGAAAGCCAGGATTCTAGAGCTGGTTCCTACCCAACAAGCTGTAACCTCCAAGCCTCGGTTTCTTCATCTGTAAAATGGGGATGTAACTATTTTCTCTTCTCTGTGCCGTGCCTGGACCAGTACCTGACTCCTAGGAAGAGCTCAGCACATAGTCCTCTAGTAGGTAAACATGGGCTTGGATGAAGATGTCTTTGAACACAAAATGATTTCATCCTAATCTCCACATGCCCAATCCATCTAGCCTAGCACCTCACACAGTGTCATTATTAAAAAACATTTCTTGGGAGAGTGGAAGCATGTACGGATGAGCAAGTGGAGACTGAAGGTGTTTCAGTGGATGGGTGGGCGGGAACAGGCAGGTGTTTGTGTTTATTATTTTTACTTATTTATTTTTTAAATATTCTTTGTGGGTGCTCCCTCACCCCCTCCTCCTTCCCCAGGCAGGCATTTCGATAAATAATGGGTGGAGAAATTGGACGTCAGGTGTGATGGGTGGCAGGTGGGATGAATGGACAGTTGGCAGGGTGAGGGTGGAAGAACTAAATATGGGCAGAACCCCCACTTTTCCTGGCTTGCTGGAGAGCTCCAGAAAGCACTTCTCAAACGGGCAAATTCCCAGATGACCCAGCAACTCCACTTCTCATCGTATGTTCTCTAGACTAACCCACACACATGTGATGTGCCAGTGTGAAAAGTTATTCCTGCAGCACTGCATTGATGAACATTTGGAAACAACTTCAGGGTCCCTCGTTTCAGGCTGGAGCGTGGGTCCCCTGAGCAGAGGGGCCTTGTCTGGGGCCTCAGGCCTTAGAAGAGCACCCGGTCAGATGTTAGTTGGATAATGCTTCATCATGCCTAGGAATACTGTGCAGCCATTAAGAAATGAAAAGGTTCCTTATGTCTTGATGTGGAATAAACTTTGAGATGTATCATTAAGAGGAGAAAGAAAGCAAGGTCCAGATAATGTGTATAGAATGCTATTGTTTTATGTTTGTTAAAAAGTGGCAAAGGCCGGCGCGGTGACTCACACCTGTAATCCCAGCACTTTGGGAGGCCAAGGTGGGCAGATCACGAGGGCAGGAGTTTGAGACCAGCCTGATCAACGTGGTGAAACCCCGTCTCTACTAAAAACGCAATAATTACCTGGGCGTGGTGGCATGCTCCTGTAATCTCAGCTACTCAGGAGGCTGAGTCAGGAGAATCACCTGAACCCGGGAGGTAGAGGCTGCAGTGAGCCAGGATTTGGCCACTGCACTCCAGCCTGGTTGACAGAGCTTGATTCCTTCTCAAAAAATAATTAAAAAAAAAAAAAGTGGCAAGGGATAATGTGTGTAGATATTTGCTTCTAGATGAGACTCTCCAGAAGGGGGACTGATGGCACTGGTTCTCCTAGGAAGCTCACTGGGGGACTGGGGATGGGGTCTGGACCCAAGAATGGATACCTTTGTGGACTTTCTGATTTTTGAACCATGCAAACAAATGACCTTTTTAGACACAAAAACAAAAGAAGAGAGAAAAGAAATGTGTGCACCTGTCTGTGCAGTTCCTTCTCCCCTGGTGGACATGCCTGGCGGACAGTGCTCACATGTGTCACACGTGGAAAGCACCCAGAAGCACTTCCTGCCCTCAGCCCATTGGGGTACCCCAGGTGTGGCCCCACAGGGCCCAGCAAAGAGCTCTGGAACCTACCAGTACTGTGGCCAGAGGGCAGTTGGGAGGCTGGTGCAAGGTTGGCAGGCCTGGCATGATCCAGTGACACCCTCGCCTTTCTCTTCGCAGGCTGGACAACGTTCATGGCTCTAGGGTAGAACCCAGCGAAACGGCCAGAATGAATTCTATGGACAGGCACATCCAGCAGACTAATGACCGACTGCAGTGCATCAAGCAGGTGGGTGTGGGAGTGAGGCACACTCCGAGGGTGGGGCCGACGGGGCAGGCACAGCATAGGCATCTGGTGGGTGCCTGGTGGGGCGGATGTCGGGGTTTCCTGACCATCTGTCTTGAGATGGCATGCTGGCACCGACCAGTCTGATGCTGGAATCACATTCCCGGGTTTTAGTTCCAATGCTGCCCTGTCCCTTCCCTTCCCACAGCCTTCCCAGCTGTGTGACTTTGGACCAGTGTTGTGGCCTCTCTGATCTCTGTTTGTGTACAAGGATGCTGTGAAGCACCTGGCACTACCATCTCCCTTTACCACCTCCCTCCCAGACCTAAGCTCCTCGCCCTTTTACTCTAGTTGTTCTTAAAAAAAAAAAAAAAAAAAAAAAAGAGCCGCAACGTGGGTGTGGCAGGCTAGGTGTGGCAGCTCACACCTTTAATCCCAGAACTTTGAGAGGCCAAGGTAGGACGATTGCTTGAGCCCAGGAGTTTGAAACCAGCCTGGGCAATACAGTGAGACCCCATGTCAGTTAAAAAAAAAAAAAATTACTAATTTATTTAAAAATAAGAACCCATTATCGGCTGGGCCCAGGGGCTCACGCCTGTAATCTCAGCGCTTTGGGAGGCTGAGGGAGGAGGATCACTTGAAGCCAGGACTTTGAGACCAGCCTGGGCAACCTCATTTCTATTTTTTAAAAAAGAAAAGAAAATCCCACAAGAGAAGGAAATTGTATCATTTTACAGAAAAGGAAACAAGTACAGAGAGGGGCCGGGGGTAACCTGAGTCCACTCAGCCCCTCTGGTGCTGGGAAGACCTCATTCCAGAGAGTGCCATCGTCCCCACCCTGCTGAAGCCCGTACCAATCCCAAGAAGTGAGCTGCCCAGGAGTTCCTCTGTTTGGATTGCGGGGAGGCGGGGAACCTTTCACAGGGGCGCCCCCCAGCGGTGGCCAGGAGTGACGCGCCCGCCCGCTGGGCCCAGCTCTGGCAGCCCAAGCTGGCAGCTTCCCTGCACAGACCCAGGAATGTTGTTCACTCCCGGAAGGACTGGGTACAGCGAGAGGGGCACGGGCTTTGGTGTCAGGCGACTTGGACTCAAGTCCTTACTCTTCTATGGACCCACGGTGGGATCTCAAGCTAGTCCTCCATTTCTCTGAGCCTCAGTTTCTTTATGTGTCAAATGGGGCCTATCTCATAGGATGCTGTGAGGATGTTGCAGGTGACGCACGTAGCCCAGCCCTGGTGTGTGGTGGTGATCAGCTAATGGCAGTGGTGGCCATTGTCCTCAGTATGTCAGTGACAGGGAAGGGAGTGCTGGGGCTCGGGCCTCTGGCCTGGACCAGCTTAACAGGAAGCTCAGGCAACCAGCGTGGGCTGCTGGGCCCCGGCTCCAGCAAGGTGGAGCTCACAGCTCCTCCCCATCCAGCCTTCCCTTCCTGAGGGCCAAGAACCAGAAGGAGCCTCGCCAAGGTGCCTGCCCAGTGGAACTGAGGCTATTCCTCAGGAATGAGGGATGCATGTCCTCTCATTAGCATTGAGCAGGGCAGTCTTGAAGCCTGTGTGGAGTCTGCAGAGAGGAAATTGAAGGAGACTTGTTACAGATTGAACCCAGCCCAAATGGCTCTTCCAAACGCCAATTACGCGCCTCTGCTCACAGTGGCAGAATAGAAACCAGACGCCAAGACTCCCTCCTCCCCCGCCCTCCCTCCTCCTGCTCGGTTCTGCAGGGCTCTCTCTCAGCTCTGCCTTTCAGCCCATTTCTCCCACCCTTGGCTCAAGTGGCAGTCACCCTGCCCCTCAATGGGATGCTCATGTCTCCTGTACCTAGGCCCCCCACGTGGCATCCTGCTGAGACCTGCTCTCAGCCTCTTTCCTCTCGGCACCCAGCTCCATATCACCAGGGGTCAGGGTGCACCTCACTTCCTTGGCCCTCCCTGGGTCCAGCTGGGGCAGAGGCCCACCAGAAGTCCCTCACAGCATGGCACACAGCTCAGTCACCATTCCGCCACTTACAAACTATGCAGCCTTAAGTTGCTGCCTCACCTCCCTTCATCTATAAAATGGGCATCATAATGAATGCACACTCAATCAGCACATGCCAGAGCCTGCACCACCCTCCCCAGCTGCTCCAGCACACACATGCACACACACAGAGGGCTCTGCCTTTGAACCAGACAGTGGCGCGTTTGTGAGTGTGAGCAACCTGCCCAGATGCCCCCTCGGCCATCCAGAGCTCCCTGCGTACTCCGTGCCCCTCCTGCCACACCTCCCGTCAGACATAGCTCAGTGCTGACATCTGTCTGCTCACAGCTGCCCTAGAGGGCAGCCTCGCTGGCTGGGGACTGTTTTCTCAGGAATCCTGTAACCTAATCGGAAGAGAAAGGCAAGCATGTCTGCACATGCTGGGACGATGGATGTGTCGGCTGTGCAGACTTTAGGCTGGCAGGGGCTGTGGTTCCCTCCCCTCTCCACCAGCCTTCCCTTCCGGCCCTCACCTTGCTTGTAGCCTTTACCAGCATTCACCAACCCCTGCCCTCTGCATCTTGCTGCCCATGTCCCTTGCAGCCTCTATCTCAGCTGCCTTTGCCCCTTCTCAGCCTCTTGGTACTGGGAGACCAGTGCTCCCTCTCTGCAACATGCCCACATTGAGAGCCCTGCAGATCAGCTCATTCCTGCTCAGCAGTTGCCCTGAACCCAGGAGCCCTTCTGAGCATCTGTACCCCATCCTTGAGCTTGGACACTTCCTGGGCACCCAGCTATCTCACCTAACTTCCTCGGTCGCCCTGGAGCTATGGGCCCTATAGGAATACATCAGGTCTCCCACCAGGCTTGGGGGCAGAGGACATGCTATATTCATCTCACAATCACGGAGTCTAGCATAGGGCCCAGCTCAGAGTGGGGCCCACCTATTTTGGGTGGGCTGAGGAGAGGGGTAGACTGATAGATGGATACATAAGGGAATGGATGGATGGACATATGGGCAGACGGTTAGACGGCTTGGCGTGTATAGATGATGACTGGATTAACGAACAGGTAGGTGGGTGTCTGGATAAATTAACTTCTGGATGAATGGGTAGATAGGTAGATGAATGAAGGGATGGATGAGTGGTGGATAAAGTGGTGAGTGGATGAACGGGTGGGTTGGCAAGCAGACGGATGGATGAATTGATTCATTCTGGATGGATGGATGGATGGATGGATACATGCATAGATGGATGGATGAATGAATCATCTGATTCACAGATGGACTGGTAGACAGGTAGATTGATAAGATGAATTCATCATTTCAAGGCATTGGTATGCCCTGCTCCTGCTCCAGCAGACTCAGTGGCCATTGGTTATAGCCCAGTTCCTTGGAGGAATTATAGAGATGGGCAGGCTTTCTGGTGGGGAACAGAGTACCAGTGTCCAGTAACAACCACAATTAGGGAGGCCTCTGCCTATGATTCAAACATGTGCTCCCATCCCCGGTCCATCAATGGCTGGCCAAGCTCCGCCCTGCCCTGCCCTGGCCCCTTCCTCCACGTGCCACTGGGGCCCATTCTGCAGTGGCCACGTTGCTGGCCTACAGAGCAGACACACTGTGTGACTCCTCCTCAGTCATTTCCCATGGGGCCCAGCCTTGTGCCAGCCTTTGAGGTTCCCCAGGTGAACAGGAGGCTGCTTCTCCCCTCAAGAGAAACAGGGAATGATAGACGGGCCCTGGCTTCAATAGCAATAGCAGTCTTTACCTGGACTGTGCTCTGCAGTGAGTTCCTCGTGGTTTCTCAACTTCGCAGCAGCCCGGAATGCTGTCACCACCGCATTTCACAGATGAGGGATCTGATGGGCAGCCACGTCTCCTGGGCTGCTTGGCTCAACAACTGAGATGGGGTTTGGACCATGTCTGTCCTGCTTAATTTCACTAGACCACTTTGTCTCTCTGTGCACTTCAGGCACCTCATGGTTGCAGTGGGTGACAAGGGCACAGAGAGGGGAGGGGCTTGGCCAAGGCCAAAGTGCCAGCAGGGTCTTCCCACCGAAGTACCAGCAGAGTATTCCCACCAAAGTGCCAGCAGGGTCTTCCCACCGAAGGGCCAGCAGGGTCTTCCCAGCATTTTGGGAGGCCGTGGTGGGAGGACTGCTTGAGCTCAGAAGTTTCAGTCCAGCCTGGGCAACACAGCAAAATCTCATCTTCATTAAAAATCAAGAACAACAACAAAATTAGCCAGGCATGGTGGTGCACACCAGTAATCCAAGTTACTTGGGAGGCTGAAGTGGGAGGATCACTTGAGCCCAGGAGGTTGAAGCTGCAGTGAGCTATGAGCCTGGGTGACAGAATGAGATCCTGTCAAAAAGAAGAAAAAAGAAAAAAGCCAGCAAATGGGATACCTGATGTTTTCTGTAGCAGTGAGATGTACCCACAGCCTACAGGCCACACAAGTTGTCTGGGGTGAGAGCAGAGGGTCCCAGAGACTGGTGAGACACTGAAGGCTGAGCATTCAGGTGCCAGAACCAGACTGGGCTTCTGAGACTGACCTCAGAGGCCACTAATGCACCCAGAGCCCCAAAGTGGGGTGCTGTGACCAGCTGGGGACAGGCAGCTCTGAGGCAGCATGCAGTGGCTCCCGACCCTGTTAATTGGGTGTGACATCACTGAAATAAACGGAACAACTCAGTTAGCAGGGGCAGCTGGTAGGCGGGAATCAGCCGATTGGCATAGCTTTCCACATGGAGCCGAGATACCAGCTGTGGCCTCTGAGGGGCATGCTTTAGAGAACGGGCACAGGAGGCAGAGGTGAGGACCCGCCGCCGCCCTCTCCCTTATTTCTGTATGTTGAAGTTCCTCCCATCTTGCACAGGTCAGATGCAGAGAGTGTCGCCTCTGCAGAAGGAGCCGGGGCTGAGGGTGGCCATGTGCAGCTGTGCTTCCAGGGGAGCCTTTGGGAGACAGAGTCAGGGCCAAGGGCAGCCCCGTGTGGGAGTGCCGCATGCCCCGGCCACTTTGCCAGGGGCCATATAAGCCTCCTCTTGTTGAAGCCTCACTGTGGCCCTGTGACGGGGGGGCTTTGTTGTGACTTCCCTGTCCTCTTCTCTCCTATACCTCTTTCTCTCTTTACTTCCATGGAAGGAGGACATTCTCATTCATTTCACTTTCCTCCACCGATTTTTTAATATCTTGCCTTGCATGAATGACATTGTAGCAACAGTCATGGCAACTTAAGCAAAAGAAATAAAAGTTCCACCACCAAGCCATGCTCTGTCATCCCCATTTTACAGATGGGGCTACTGACGCTCCAAGAAGTGAGGGGACCATGCTAGGTCACTGGTTTGTAGGCGTGAAGGCAGAGTGTGGGCTCCCATAGCTCCCCTGCTGATTCTGGGCCCCCCACCCGCCGCAGCTCCTAAGGCCCTCCCTGCCCTGGCCCTGGGGCAGGCTCGCGTTGCAGGTGGAATGGAGGGACTGCCCTGTGTGGCTCCTGTTCTGCTGTCTCTCCCAGCACGAAGGCAACGGGACCTCAGAAGGTGCCAGTTACAGCCAAATGAGGAAAGAGCCCCATCCCAGAATCTCACCTTTGCCTCTAATCTGCTCCTTGTCCCTAGCCACATCATTTGTCTCCTGAATTCAGTGCCCAACTCAGAGGGCCTGGGGAAACAGTTAAGAGTGAAGGGGGCCATGGGAACCACCCCTCCGCTTTGCACCTTACCCACCCCACCAGCCTTGCAGCCTGGGCCTGAAGCAGAACCAGGAGGCCCCGGCACCCTGGCACCAGAATTTCGTCTCTGTTGACTCAGACTCTCGCCTGGCAGGGGCCTGAGCTCAGGCTGACCTCCCCAACCATGCCAGCGGCCCTGAGAGGATCCAAGCAGGGCCCAGTAAGTCACACACAGCAGACCCTAGTGGGACAATGGTCTAGGCACATGTGCTCCTCACCCTCCCAGCTGGCTGTGGCCTCCCCCAAACCCCTCACCTTATGTGGCTATGGCAGAGCAGGCTCCAAAGCCAGAGCTGGTGGGAGCCCAGACCCGGGCTTTGGTGGCGAGGGCTGGGAGGTGGGGGTAGTCAGGAAGGAATCTCCAGGGCCAGCCTGTCCTGGCTCCGGGGTCAGCGGGGAGAACCCCCAGACCCCTGCAGGGATTGCCTGCCCCCACCCCCACCAGCATCCGGAAAGTACTCTGCTGTCTGACGTCATCAGCCTTCTCTAGACCTCAGTTTTCCTGTCTTTGCAATGGGACTACTAATCCACCGGGTTAGGGGAACGGGTGGGTCAGGCATGCCAAGCACAGGGGGTGAAAGCAAGCATGAGAACACTCAACGATCCCGACTACCCCTTTACCCCTTTCCGTGAACCTCCTTCCCAGTGAGGTTGGGGTCGTCCTGTCCCAGACCCCGCCCCCCACGCTGCCCATGCTGGCCTCGTTCCTGGAGCCTCAGCCGCCTCCTTTTCCTTTCCCACAGCACTTACAGAATCCTGCCAACTTCCACAATGCCGCCACAGAGCTGCTGGACTGGTGTGGAGACCCACGGGCCTTCCAGCGGCCCTTCGAGCAGAGCCTGATGGGCTGTTTGACGGTGAGTCTGCACGCTGTCTGCCTACACTCCTGCCCAGGAAGGTCGGCCGAGGGCTAGCGTGCCTGTCCAGGTGTTGGAGAGGCTGTCACACATTGTGGGGGTGACACCAGTGAGAGAGCTGGGAAGACACTGGTGCTGGGGACATGGCCCTACTGGGTGTGTCCCCCGAGTGCATACCCCCAGGGGACCTGGAGCTGCTGAGGACACAGTCCCTAGGGATCATGTGAGTTCCCACACTTGATAAGAAAGACACAGGCTCACTTTATGGGTCACTGTTCTGTCGTAAGCACAATAGAGATTCTCTTAGGGTTTTCAGCCGTTCTTATGCAGTCATTCATTCATTCATTCATTCACTTAGCAAACATGTATGGAGCTTTTCCTGTAGTCATCCATCCATTCAGGTCAGCATTGATTAAGCCCCTCTGACACCCATCCATCTAGCCAAATAGGCATTGATTGATCTCTCATTGATCATGGATGATCTGCTAAGTCCGGGGGAACAGAAGATGAATAAGGCTTCACCAAGCCTGGTTTCCTCCGTAGTGGAGGAGGCAGATGTGTAAAGAAGTGACTAAGAAAATCGTGTGCACGGTGAAGGCAGCACAGAGAAGGGGATCCTGAACTACCTGGGTGGCAGGGCAGGGTGCAGAAAACTGAGGAAAGGAGCCACCATCTGTGTAGGAGTCCCCCAAGCAGCGGAGGGCAGCAGGAGTGCTCTGGGCACTCGGAACATCATCTGCAAAAGGCCGGAGGCCCAGTGGAATCCGAAGAACCGGAAGGCTTGAGGCTGCAAGGTGCACAGAGGTCAGGCACAGGGTTTATGATGTGATCGGCTAGGCTAAGGAGCTTGCCGGCCCACAGGGCACCATGGAAGTCACTGGAAGCTTGTGAATGTCCCCAGCCATGTGGCCTGTGTCCATAAGTGTGAGGACACTTTGGTGACTAGGGAGGGCAGCTGCTCAGAAGGCCCTGAGTCTGCTTGGAAGGGAGTATAGGTAAACAGATGGCAGGGGAGCCCATTTATCCCAAGCCTGGGAGAGGAGGGACCAGGAGGATGCCTAGCCAGGCGGGAACAGTGGGCATGGCCCGCGGGCACCAGACTTCTTGAAGAGTTGCAAGGAGACAAAGGCCCACATGGCCTTGGCCTGCAGAGGAAGAAATAGTGGTCACACGGCCATTGTGACAAACCGTCTGTTCTGTGCCCGGCAAGGAGCCGCCCATGGAATATGGCGTCCCACCAAATCCCTCAGTGAACCTGGCCTGCAACCCTCCCTGTTCCACAGAGGAGGAAACAGACTTGTAACTGACTTCCCAAGGGCACACAGCCTTAGAGGCAGGCCTGGGATTCCAGCCGAGGCCTGCCTGCCTCCAGAGGGGATGCCCTTGGCCATTAGGGATGCCAGACAGGGACGCAGCCAAGACCCCCCTGGGGCTCCTCTGCTTGTCAGAAGCTAGCACCATCTGGCTCCCTCAGGCCACCGGGCCAAATCGGGCAGCCACCTGCACTGCCCAGTCTTCCTCGTCCTTCAGCCCATGGGTCCCCTCTCTCTCTCCCAACCCCCTTAATCCTCTTTGTGGGGATCTGGTTCCAGGCTAAGCCCTGTGGGCAGGGACAGATGTTGCCAGAGCCCCCTCACTTCCACCCCAGCTGAGGGTGGAGGATGTGTGGCCAGCCAGGCTGCCACGGTCTCCAGCACACTGCCCCAAGCCTGACCCTGTCTAGGGTGTGGGAACTCAAGACTGAATCAGATAGTGGCCCTGGCTGGCCTGGTTGGACCAGGAACTGGCCCCGCCTCGGCCCTGCTGTCCATGCGTTCATTCAGTGAACATTCGCGGGGCTCTTATTGGGGGCCCTCCTGTGCTGGGCCATGGAGGGACCACTCTCAAGGGGCTGGCCCGCCAGGAGGAGCCTGACACTAAACCCACAAGGGTGCAAACAGGGTCACATGCCAGAGCTCCGGGAGAGGGGGCAAGAGCACAGGGCAGGAACTGTCTCCTGAGATGACCTCCTTGGGAGGATGAGAAAGCAGTGTGCTCCAGGCAGAGGGAACTGCCGGTGCAAAGGCCCTGAGGCTTGAACTCTATGAACATAAAGAAGGCTCAGGCGGCTGGAGCCCAGGGAAGGGAGAAGGGTGTGAGTTGAGGCAGAGGAAGGAGGCAGAGAGCAGCTAATGCAGGCCTACAGGCCAAGCCAGAAGAGTCTGGGCATTATTTGGAGGGCAGTGGGGAGCCTTGAAGGATTATTAGCAGGAGAGTCAGGGGCCATGATTTGTGTGGGTGCAGGAGCTCTGAAGGGGAACATCTTTGGAGGGCAGAATGGAGGGCTTCCTGGAGGAGGGAGCCCAGGGAAGGTCCCATGGGACCTGGCTGGACAGAGGAGACCATGGCTTCCCAGGCAGGGGAGGCTGTGTAGACAGTGCCTACTCTCCTGGGCCTCTGCTCCCTGCCCCCTGTATAAGGCAGGCATCTGGTAGAATGACCCCCACCCCTGCAGCCAGGTCATGGTTACAGTGACCTGAGTCTGGCTGTCCCTTAGAGATCAGTAGAGCCAACGGCGTGAAGGAGTTTGGTGGAGGGTAGTGGGGATTTTCCCGAGGCACTGTCTCTTTGGATCCTCATAAAGACCCTTTGAGGTGGGCAGGGAAGGAGTCGCCACTCCCATTTTACAAAGAAGGCCACTGGGAGGGGGAGCAGCTTACCCCAGTCGCAGGTAGGTCTCACAGACTCCCTGGGAGCCTCCGGGCCCTGCTGCCAGTGCCCTCTTCCCAAGGCATCCTCAGCCCAGCCCTGCCCCATGGAGAAGAACGGGATGTGGGAGGTCAGAGATCCCAAGGGACCTAGGTGGAGCGAGGCAGCTGCCACTCCCCCGCCCCCCACACATACCGCATCCACCCCATCCAGGTGTCAGCCTGAACCCTCCAGCTTGCTGCAATCCCCTGGGTGACCTCTGGAAGCAAACTCCAGATTCCTCAATCCAGCTTACTTTGAGAATATAAATTAAAAACCACTTAGCCACGAGCAGCAAATGGACACATTTCTGCCATAGTCCCTTCTAAGCAGTTCGGGCACAGTTAAAGTGCCCCCAGCCTAGCCCTGCCCTCCCCTCCGTTTCACCTCTTGGGACTTCTGGATGCAGAGGTACAGGAGCCCCAGGCCCTGCCCCAGGAGCCCGTGCAAGCCCGCGTCACCACTTCCTCTTCAGAAGCAGGCTCTACCTCCTCCAGTAGCCAGGGAGAGCAGTCCCTCTGGGCACCCTCTCCCTCCCCTGAGCTTAGGGAATAGCACAAGACAGGGAGACAGAGGAGACGGTGGGAGAGCAGGTCCTGGAGCGAAGCAGGTTTCACATCAGCAGGCCTGTCCCTCATCTCGCCAATGAGGAAGCCCCACAGCTTCAGAGTCAGAAAGAACTTGCAGGTCCCGCCCCCTGCCAGGAACGAAGACCCCTTCTCCAGCAGTTCCCCAGACAGCCTGTCCTCCTGCTTTGCGGCCAGCAGGCTGGATGCTTTTCAGGGTGACTCAGTTGCTTTGTGGAACTAATGTAATTCACCACATGACCTTGAGCAAGCCACCCGTCTTCTTTTTGTTTTTTTAAATTTTTTTATGGCACATGCCTGCAATCCCAGCAGCTCGGAAGGCTGAGACAGGAGAATCTCTTGAACCCGGGAGGCCGAGATTGTGGTGAGCCAAGATCACGCCATTGCACTCCAGTCTGGTCAAGAAGAGCGAAAGTCCATCTCAAAAAAAAAATTTTTTTTTATTTTATCTTAGAGACGGTGTCTTGCTCTGTGGTTCAGGCTGGAGTGCAGTGGCAAAATCATAGCTCACTACAGCCTTAACCACCCAGGCGATCCTCCTGCCTCAGCCTCCTAGGTAACTGGGACTAAAGGCACCTACCACCATGCCAGGCTGCTTTTTTTCTTAGAGATAGGGACTTGCTGTGTTGGCCAGGATGGTATCAAACTCCTGGGTTCAGGTGATCCTCCCACCTTGGCCTCCTAAGTAGCTAGGTACCACAGGCCTGCACCAGACTAAAAGGTTGATTGTACAAATGGGACTGGCACAGTGGCTTGCCCCTGTAATCCCAAGCACACCTGAGGTCAGGAGTTCAAGACCAGCCTGGCCAACATGGTGAAACCCTGTCTCTACTAAAAGTACAAAAGGAAATTAGCTAGGTGTGGTGGCACGCACCTGTAATCCTAGCTACTCGGGTGGCTGAGGTAGGAGAATTGCAAGACCCCGGGAGGCGGAGATTGCAGTGAGCCAAGATCGCACCATTGCACTCCAGCCTGGGCAAAAACAACAAAAGTTGTGTACAGACGAGATCTTTCTGTGTTGCCCAGGCTGGTCTTGAACTCCTGGATCCAAGTTGTCCTGCTTCAGCCTCCCAAAGTGCTGGGATTACAGGTGTGAGCCACCACACCTGGCCAAGTTCCCCGACTTGTGTCTGGACTTTAGTTTCCCCGTCTGTGGCATGAGGCTGGGCTCCCTGACCTGTGAGGTCCCCTGGCTCCAGGGGTCTAGATGTAGGCAGCCAGGATGACAGAGTGGCCTCAGGAGTGTGTCCCCCTGTGCAGCCCCCCTCCACCATGGGTCGAGTGGCAGGGCCTGGGCAGCCCCCAGAGGGCTGCAGCGTCCCAGCCATTCTCACTGGCCTTTATGGGGAGGGGTCTTTGCACCCCATTGGACCTTCACAGAGAACACCCGCTCACTGGGGTGAGAGCAGGCCTCTCTGCAGAGCTGAGACCACCACTGCCAGTCAGACCCCGCCTCACAGGACTTCCTGGGGGTCCTCAGGTTGGGCCAGAGGAAGCCAGGCGATAGCAACGCATGAAGCACTCCAGGCTCACAGGATTCAGTTCCACTCACGCTGCGTGTGCTCTGTGCTCTGTGGCCTTGAGCAAGCTCCTGCCCTCTCTGGACCTTAACTTCCTCATCAGTGAAAGGAGGCTGTTGGTGCCAGTGACCCTTCTGAATGCTGGGACAGGGGGGACTTGCAGCCGCCACACAGCACCAGGCCCCTATAGCTCAATTTAGCTAGTGTTTTGTTCTTTTTAACTAGAGCAACAGGATTAGTCAGTGTTGACCAAACATGGGACTTCGGCCTTCCTTCCCTGAACCCAGGGCCTGAGGAGTCCTCAGTACAGGCTGGAAGTTATGGTGTTAACCCTTTGTGGACTGAGAAAGAAGTCCCAGTAGAGAAAGATAGATTTTTCAGCTAGACTGCCTGGATCACATCCTGGCTCTGTCACTGACCAGCTTTGAGCCATTGTTCAACCTCTGTTTTCTCATCTGTAAATCAGAGGTAATAATAATAATAATACCTACCTTGTGGAGCTGCTAGAAGAATTTGCACTTTGTTACATGCAAAGCACTTATGTCGGCGGGAGCCAGCATTTTCCCAGCAGCGCTCCTCAGCATCAGTGTTTCTCACTGACGGCAGCCTCACTACTGCACCGGGCTAAACACGCCGCTCTGTGCTCACAGGCATCCACCTAAACGTTCTCCTACAAAGAGGGAGGGCGCCAGAGTTCATGTATGAGCTGCAGCGGCCCCTCCAGCTCAGAACCTTCCTCCTCACTCTCTGGAGGAAGGTCTGCCTGCAGATTGGAAATATTCAACAGGCCAGAAAGAGTTAGGGACCTTGATTTTTCTAGGTGGACAGTGAGACAGTGAGGATGCCTCTACCCTGGGGTGGCCCGAGACCGGGACATGCAGAGGGTAAACAGAGCCCAGGCGAAAGAGGCCCAGGGAGTGTGGAAGACTTCTGTGCCAGGGGCTTTTGTTTGCAGCAGAGATGCTGAGTAAACATCCTTACCTGACAACAGTCTTCTTCCTCCCAGCCTGGCTCAAACATTATCCCTGCACAGGGGGGTGCAGGGAGGGCCACAGCCCCATTTCAAGAGTCACTGGTGGTCCTGGGAAGGGAAACCCATGGGCTCCTCCCTGATTCAGCAGGGGACATTGAGTCTCCAGTGTTGTGTTTTAAATTGGCCTAGATAAGCAGGGTTCCCACCCCTTTTAGCCCCAGAGCCCCTTTCACAGATCCCTAAGATACAAAGCAGGCAATGGAGAACAATCTTGTTGGATCTAGGGGCCAGGCCAAACCCCATAGAAGCCTGAGGGCTCTCCAGGCACCTCTGGAGCAGGTGGTTTCTGGGGACTTGTCGGCTGAGTCCCCCCTTTCTCAGAAGCACTAGCCTACCACGTCTGGGTGCACTCCCCACTCAGCCGTAGCCACCCCAGCTGCTTTCTAAACGACTCCCTTTTCCAAGATCCTTCCTTCTTAATAAAGAAAGCTAATTTTGCTGCTGTTAATGAGGAAGGCGGGTGTGAGGGAGCAGACCTGGCAGTTGGGGGACACCTGGGAATGGGTGGGGACAGAGTGAAGCCACGGGGGCACGAGCTTGCAGAGCCATCCTGGAGCCCTTGGAGCGCCCCATCCCACACTGCCCCCCAGGGACTGATGGTCCTCCCAGTCTCTCGCCTCTCACCCTGCCAACCCCTACCTACATCAGAGATTTGTAAGGAGATGGGTAAGACCTTCAGGCTCCAGACACACAGATGTTGTTATGGAAGCCTCCTGTTTGCTGGGGCGTGGCACTAGATGACAGACCCTAGGCTGAATGTGGGAGTCCTGCAGTTTCTAGCTAAGGTTGAGGGGCCTGCAGGTGCTTGGCACAGAGCAGCATTAGGACGCCCGCCCCATCCAGGAAGCCGTAGCCCATTGAGCAGCTTTGACCTGAAGCCCCGTGGGAAGCAGCTTGTTCTAAATCGCTGCCTTTTTTTTTTTTTTTCTTTTTCTTTTTTTCCTGAAAAGGAGTGTCGCTCTTTTGCCCAGGCTGGAGTGCAGTGGCACGACCTCAGCTCACTGCAACCTTCCATCTCAGGTTCAAGTGATTCTCCTGCCTCAGCCTCCAGAGTAGCTGGGATTACAGGCACCCGCCACCATGGCCTGTAATCCCAAAAATACAAATAATTTTTGTCTTTTTAGTAGAGATAGGGTTTCACCATGTTGCGCAGGCTGGTCTTGAACTCTTGACCTCAAGTGATCCACCCGCCTCAGCCTCCCAAAGTGCTGGGATTACAGGTGTGAGCCACCACACCTGACCTAAATCACTGCTTTAGATGAGATGCATGCTGACTTGTAGGGGCAGGGCTGAGCCTGAGAGTCTGTATTTGTAACAGGCCCCTCTGTGATGCTGATAGGCCTGGGGTAGGAGGGGCAGTGAGCCCTTCCCAGCAGTGGTTGTGGGAGCTCAGTGAGGGGTGGGGGGAGTTCCTGAGGACCCAGGACATAGAAGGACGATGGAAGAGCAACCCAGTAGAGCAGAGACCGTGGCCTGGACCCATCCTAAGGATGGTGGTGCAGGCTCCCCAGCCAACTTCTAGAATGTGGTTGGATCTGAGTCCTTGGGTCTATGGGTTTGGGGTCAGGCCCATCGTCAGCCTGGGAAACCCCTGAGGACGGGGCCAGGATTCCACAGCCTGGCACAAAAGAAGTGTTCATCAGTATTTGCTGAGCGACTGGACAAGGCACTGTGGTGTCCCGGCTCTGCCTGATGGCGGGGGCCTGCCTTCTTCTGCCCACCTCTCCCGCTTCACCTGCAAAACGGGCATGTCCACCGGCTCAGGGCTCTGTGACTCACCTGCCCTCCTCCCCTCTTGCTGCCAGGTGGTCAGCCGGGTGGCAGCCCAGCAAGGCTTCGACCTGGACCTCGGCTACAGACTGCTGGCTGTGTGTGCTGCAAACCGAGACAAGTTCACCCCGAAGTCTGCCGGTAGGTGTCCTTGGGGAACTCCGCGATGTCATGGAGGGGTGGGGAGGGGAGCTGACTCTAAACCAGGCCTGTCTGCCGCCCCCACTGGCTGGTGCCTGCATTTGTCTAGGTGTAGTGACAACTCCTGAGGAAGAGCAACTCATCCACCAGGATGTAGGAGCCACAGACAGGGCTGTCCCTATGCCCCTCCCGGGGAGTGTCCTTACCTCAGGGGATACCACAGGGCCAGAGAGGGTCCCGAGGCACACCAAACCCCAGCAGTGGACACTGAGCTACAGGCAGGACCAGCATCAGCTCACTCCATTACCACAGTGACCCTTTCGCATAAGCACTGTGATCTCCCCATTTTACAGATGAGGAAACTGAGGCTCACAGATGCTGAGGAGATTTCCCAAGGCTACACAGCTAGAAGGCAACAGAGCAGGGATTTAAGCCCAGGCCTGTACTTCAGAGTCAGCATTCTAATGAAACACAAAATTAGAAACAAAATCAATCAGTACAGTCAGGGTTCCATATGGCAACTTTGTCCTCACCTGCAGTCACATTGCAACTCTGTTGTCACCTGCGGTCTCCTGACCCTGTGTTAAGCAGAGGCCATGGAGAGTGCCGAGCAGCATTCTGCCTGGGAGGTCTTTGAGCACTTTAAAAATACAGTTTTATTTTACGTTTCCCACATCCTCATAACCTTGCTTAGGCCCCAGGCGCCCTGCTAGCTTTAAGCCAGGGAGACCTGTCACTTGCTAAGTGTATGTCTCTGAGCGTCAGTTGATCTCTCTGATCTCTCCGAGAAGGCAGGAATGATCATGAGACCCCTGCCTTGCAGGGGTCATCATAAGAGCTAGAAATACGTAAAGTGCCTAGCACCGTGTCTGGCTATTGTTAACGTTCTTTATGGAGTCAGGATAAGCAGTTGGAAAAGAAAAAAAAGTTATTTCCTCTGTATGACAATAAAGCGGATGTTTTCACTGAATTCATCAATCAGTTCTTTGGAGTGTATATGGATGCAGCCTTCGGGAAAACGTTGAAAGGACATCTCACAATGAGTTTCCATAAGTCTGCTCAATTTGTAATCTCTTGCGTGCGAGTTTGCGCCTCTTTCCATGTACGTTTCTAGTCTGCACACGTGGATGACGCTGCAGACATGCGTGTGTGACGGCCTCATTAGCCAATAGCTGCTCTGAAACCCTTGACATGCCCTCCTGCATTGGGATATTGCTATTGTATTGAACTGCCTGCTAGAAAATGATCTTGGAATCTCACCAGAGACATCTATTCCTGTTGGAATGTGCAGTTTTTCATAATGACTTAAGTCAATACAATGTTGACAAGGTAGAAATGACTTGTCAAAGACACGTACCTCTTGAGTGTCCATTCTGTGTAGGCACCGGCGAGGCTGAGGTTATAAGGGCAACTAGACAGAAAGGGTCTTGCCTTGAGACACAGCCCAGAGCAGGGGCCAGCAAGCTTTTTCCATCAAGGGCCAGATAGTATATATCTTAGGCTTTAGGGGCTCTGTGAAAACTGCCATAGACAGTACATAGAGGAATGGGGGTGGCTGGTTCCACCAGAACTTTATTTATGAAAACAAGTGCTGTGTGTAGTGGCTCATACCTATAATCCAGCATTTTGGGAGGCTGAGGCAGGTGGATCACTTGAGATCAGGAGTTTGAAACCAGCCTGGGTAACATAACAAAACCCCATCTCTACCAAAAAACAAACAAACAAACAAAATTTAGCTAGGTGTGGTGGTGCATGCCTGTGTTCCCAGCTGCTTGGGAGGCTGCGATAGGAGGATCGCTTGAGCCTGGGAGGTGGAGGTTGCAGTGAGTCAAGATCGAGCCACTGCACTCCAGCCTGGGTGATAGAGCAAGACCCTGTCTCAAAACAACAACAACAACCAAGAAACAATAACAATAAAACCAAGTGATTAACTGTATGTCCTGACCCCTAGTCTAGGAGGAGAGGAAAACATTGATCAAATAATTAGAGGGGTGTGTGTGAGAGAGAGAGCTCAAGCTGTAATAAGGCCTTGAAGAAAAAAAAAGGTGAAGGGTATCAAGGGAGTGCTGGTCGGGACAGACCACTCTGGGGTGGTAGCAGTCTCCTCCGAGACCCGAAGTTTGAGTAAGTGAAGAAAAAGAGGAAGAGCGTCTTTGCAGGTAAAGGGAACAGCCTGTGCAAAGGTGTTGAGGTGGAAGGGAAGCATGCATGGCTTTTTGTCAGAATAAGAGAAGGGCAGTGGTTCTGGAGCCCACAGGCGGGGGATGCGTGGCAAAGGCAAGGCTGGGGAAGTCAGCAGTGGAACATGCAGGGCCTGTCTTGGAGGTCACGATCTTTGTCCTGGGAGTAATGGGAACATGGCTAAATGCTCATTTTGTGACGACAGCTCCGGCTATAAAAAAAAAAAAAACAGCTTGCACGTGGGGGTGGAGGCCGGCCTGGGTGTAGGTGGCCAGTTGACAGATCACGGGGGAGGTCGGGATGAGGATGATGGTGGCTGGATCAGGAAGGCGAGTGGAATGGAGACAGAGGGATAGTTAAGAGGCAAAACTATGCCACAGAGAGAGAAGATCTGGAGAGTGGACTGCTCCCGGAGCGGCTCCCCAGTGGAGCGGGAGAGACTCAGGTCTCCATGCAGCCCCTCCACAAAGCGTCACTGAAACCCTTGCCCTGCTGCCCTGGGCTGGGTGTTCTCATATGTTTCGTGACAGTGTCCAGCTTTATGAGACACGGAGTACTGTCTGCATTTATGTATGAAGAAATGGAAGCTCAGAGAGGTCCTATGACTTCCCTGAGGTCCCCAGCTCCTAAGTGATGGAGCTGGAACCTGAACTCCCAGCCTCCTGGTTGCAGGCCCAGGGTTCTGCCTACATCACAGCAGGCCTGGGCAGCCCTTTGTTTCCATTGGAGAGAGCCCTTCATGCTGCTCAGCGTTCTCCAGCAGGGCCTCTGAGTGGCGTTCCAGCATCACTTCTTCGATTGAAACAGGGATTTGTTCTTTTCTCCATCCGCACCCCCACTTGAACACAGCTTTTGATAATTTAGAAAGCATCGCATCTATAAACTCACGTGGCACTCTGACACTACACACTCCCAGGAGATGAGCTCTCAGTCTACCCATTCTGCAGCTGAGAACACCGAGGCACAGCAGTGTCTGTGGCTTGTCCATCCTCAAATTTCCTTATTAGGAGTCAGTGCCCACATCTATGACTAACTACCTTTGAAGGCCACCCCTTTGGACGTACTGGCTCTCGGGAGCCCAGCCACCCCCGGCTTGGCCCATCTTCTGGAAAGGAGAAGGGGTCATTCTAAGGGGGGAGCCTCCACCTGCTGGTTTTATTCGAGGGGTAAAGGGCCTGCCAGGGGCAGGCTGGGCCCTACGAGGGGTGGAGGCTGTAAGGAGCAGAGCTGGGACCCCAAGTCCCAGACATGGCACCAGCGCCATGCCTCCACTTGGCCACCTGTCTGAGCTATGGCCTCGTCTGTGAAGAGAGCTGATTTGCCCACGTCATAGGCTGCCTGTGAAGATTCAGTGGGATCCCCTAATCATGGGAGTGAGGGAGGGGCCCGGCTAATACCTGACACATACTGGGGGCCAAGTACATACGGCCCTCCGGCCTTCCTCGTCTGCTTCCGTGTGTCTGTCTCTTAGCCCATGTGGCTCCCAGCCTGTCTCAGTCCCTCTCTGCGGCAGCAAGCCTGTTTCCACAGTCTGTCTCCCCTTGGCTCTGTGGGTGTGCATGACCTGCAGCGACCCTGACCCTGGACACATCCCACTGTGCCTGTGTGGGGATGGCTGCTCCTGCCTGCCCAGCCCGCTCCCAGGGAGGCCTCTGCAGGTCCAGAACTCGCTCCAGCCCCCAAGCCCCTTTAGCCGGCTTGGGCCACCAGTTCACCCTCCTGCCTTTCCACGCCTGTGTGACTCCCCAGTGCAGCTGCCCTCCCAAGGCTCCCCTCTCCTTTCCCTCTTTGGTCTCGGGTGTCTGTAGGTCTGTCTCTGTGCAGCAGCCCCTGTCCATGGCTAGCTTCCCATGGCTTTCTCTGCCTTCTTGGCTTTCTCTGGGTCTCAGACTTTCTCCCTCTGCACGTCCGTATGTATGGTATGTGTGTGGCCATGTGTGTTTCTGTAGCGGGGAGTATGTGGCTGTGTATGTGGATGTGTGCTTGTGTACATGTGCATGTCTCTGTGTGTGTCTGTGTGTCTACGTGCATGGCTGTGTACATGTGTGCATCTGTGCATGCTGTGTGTGGCTATGTACATGTACATGGCTGTCTGTGTGCATGGTGTGTGTATGTCTATGATGTATGTGTACCTGTGTATGTGTCTCTGTGTGTATCTGCATGGTGTGTGTGCAGGGCTGTGTGTATGGACATGCCTATCTGTGTATGCATGCATGTTATCTGTGCGTGGGTGCATGCCTGTGTGTGTCCCCCTGGCACCACGTCCCCTGTCTGTCTCCCTTGTCAGGAGGCCAGGCCAGCCAAGGAGGGCCAGGATGAGATCATGCAGTGAGCGAGCATGGAGCGGGGCTTTGTCAGAAGAGCTGGCAGTGAGCCGGCCGTGGTGCAGGAGCACGTGTGTGCATGTGTGTGCATGTGTGTGCGTGTGTGTGTGTGAGTCCTGGGAGAGTGCGCAGGAGGCGAGCATAGGCAGTCACTGCAGCAGCAGCAGCTGCCAGGCAGGCGGCTCCACTCGGCCCTGGACGCCCAGCCCCCAACTCTTTGTTCTGGCGAAGCCTTTAGCCTCAGAGCGCGCTCACGGGAGCACGTGTGCGGGCGGGATCCTCCTCCTCGCCAGGCCCCCTCCCTCCTCAGTACAGAAGGTCACCTGCCCAGCCCGGCATCCTGATGCTCCCTTGATTCTCCCCAGGCCGGGCCTTAGCATGGCCCCGCCCCCACCTTCCATGCCAGCCCTAGGCGACTTGGCGGGCAGCGCTGAAATGTCAGCTTCCTCGGCACCAAGCAGTCCCACGCCTGCTGGCGACGTGGGCGCCAAGCAC